TCATACAGCAGCATATGAAAAATTTATCTTTAAATTCCAAAGTAGAGCTGAAAACTAGAAAGAATTTGGGATCCTTTCACTTTCTTGATCAGTTTCAAAAGACAATTTATGGGGGTGCAGCTCATTGCGCAGTGTAACTGCCTTATTATCATTTTCTGTCTTTTCCAGGTTAACATAAGCTGGAATTACTTTAGGATGAGGGGTCATATTAATAATTCCCCTCCTGTATCTTTTGTTCATTGGCCTTCTAAATAATGCTTCTCAGTTCCTGAATTTATCACTTTACTTAAAAATGGATTTCCTGATTTAGATTTAAGCCCAGGCAGCTTAATAAGATATCTACGTCTTCTTTATTCCTATTAAATGTAATGAGCATCTTCAAGGTAGGTTTATATTTTTTTCTTACTGAACAAGAAAATAGTATTTTCTAATCGTGTATTTCATCTTGAACAATGCTGCAAACTGCACAAAATAGTTATATTACTCACTGCTCCAAAGCAGCCATTTCTACTACAGAAAGTGGAAATGAAGAATCATAAAGTACCCAGCTGAAACTACAGGAGAAATTTAGGGAAACAGAATGTACTAAACTGCTCTGATTTACTGCACGGTTTTCATCAGTACCACTTTTGCAATGAAGGCGAATGGATATTAAAATATATGTATATAAATCTATGTATGTGTATATACGTATGTAATACATTTTGTATGATATACAGATTTACCAAGTAGAGACAAGTGTCCATTCCGAGATCTACTCTCCAGCAAAAAGAAAAAATCTTTTATACCAGGTTCTTTAATGCCAGTAAATAGTCAGGACCTCTGCTTCACGTCCAAGAGACTCCATCTCCAACCATAGGACAACGTACACTAGTATCATGATGAGGTGTTGGTGATTAGGCATCTACAAAATACTCTCCAAAATGCCTTTTGGAAAGGCATCTACAAAATACTCTCAGTTTTCCATCCAAGTGCTGACCCAGGCAGATCCCGCTTAATTTGAGAGTGTGTTGCAACTTGTAGCATAAGCTGCTCTAAGGCAGAATGGAAGCTGTACCAAAATGGTGAGAATCATAACGCAGGCCAAAGGCCTGGAAGCCAGTGTGGGTGATCAGCATGGCACTCACCTGGATAAAATCTGGAAAGCGCTTTTTACAAGTAGGGCAGGTGAAATAGCCATCACTGATGTGGATGGCCACATGATCTTTGAGCAAATCCAAGCGGTCAAAAGATTCTGGACAGAAAATGCAGGAGTAGGTTTTCTGGTCCAAGTGGAACTTCATATGACTTTCCAGGGCCCCACTGTTGATGAAACCCTTGTTACAGATGTCACAGGTCAGAGGGCAATTCCCTTCCCGCCCATGGAACCGCAGGTGCTGATCCAACTTGTCCTTTTCCCGGAAGGCCTTCCCACACTGCAGACATTTAAAGGGACGGAAGGACTTTCGGATGAACAGGTGCTGAAGAGCTGCATTCTGAAAGAGAAACCCAATAAAGCATGTCAGCTTTAATCATTCTGGACGTATTTTATGTACATAAGTCGTCCAGTTTCAAGCAAGCCAAGACAGTGACGAGTTAAATCTCATAAGAGCCCTCTGAAGTAAGTGCCTATTAGCACCCTCACAGAGATGGCGGAACAGACAAAGAGATTAGGGGACACACCTATGGTTACTTGGAATTAACAAAAGAGTCAGGAACAGAACTCACAAATCCCAACTTCATCTCCCTTTCTCTAACTGTATTTGGCAGATTTTTCTATACTGTAAACTAAATGTTCCCTATTAGCTATAGGGTTGTGCCCAAGAGGTGCCAAGTGTTGGCAGTTCCCATTTTCTCTGTTTTTATTTTCAAAGATTAGCCAACGCATCCAGGAACCCTGACACATGGCCACGTCCTCACACGTGTTGCCTGTCTATGGTCCTGTGAAATTCTGTATCATTTCAGACTGTCGGTTTCTGCATCAGGGAACATGAGACATCTGCAGCAACAACATAATGCTTCTCCTGGTGGTAGATGTTTGTATGGATCTCATGACAACCCAAGCCATCTCTTTATTACTAAATAGAAGAACTGTAAAAACATTACAGTAGAGGCAGATGAGAAGCCTCACGTACAATGGGTTCTCTCTTGTGTGCGAACTACAAAATTCTACCACTGAATGTACACCATGTATGTGTATCTGAGGCTGGAGGAGAGAGATAAAAAACAACAAATGCACACACAGTTTGAGAGAGCTAAAGGGCAGAATTCTGTGGTTCACTCAAAGAAACTTTTTTATAACATTTTCTCATTAAATCTATTCAAAATGCATTTTAAAAATTAACTTACTATGTCTCTCCTGCTTTTGTTCTTCCTTCTCTTTTCCTTTTCCTTCAATCCACTTTTTCTTTCTTTCTTTCTCCTGCATATCCTTTCTTCTCACCCTCTCTCTCCTTTTTCAGTGGCTGTTTTCCTTCAAGCTACTTTTTCTTTAACATTTCAGAACTGGTATTTCTTTCCTTCTCTCAACTTCTAGACTAGATAAATCTGGTGGTGCTTTCCAACTCATGATACCTGTGTGGCTGTTAAAGAAGCAGTCACAGCCAGACCTGCAGCCTGTAGAAATAGCCATTTGCCTGCAAGGCCTGCATTTCAGTAGTGGATGAGGGCTTTTTATGCTGCCTAGTGGTAAATATGGGAGCATACTGTTTGCTTTTGTATGCGAAAGCCCGTATCACACTGCAGCAGGAAGTTGAAATGGCACAGTGATTCTGCAGTTTCCCTCTTGGTGCTACTGAGATCAAAGCTTTTTTTTTTTTTTTACTCCATCAAGGCAGGACTTCCCTTCCATAATTTACTGATGTCCCTTTCTACCTAGCTTCTCAGCCATTAAAAACATAATCATGCTGGTTGGAGAAACAGCACTAGAATACTGCTGGCATCAGTGTTTAAAGATGTTTGTTATTAGCAGACTTCCCCTTGTAGTGTAGACAAGGCCCTAGAAAACAGATTTCTCTGGCAGAGCAGTTTCTACTCTCTTTTCCTACGGGAGCTTCTTGGCTGGCATACACTGCTGTCCTTAGTGTTTGTCAAACAGCAGATGCTGACAAAGTAACATAAGAAGCTGCTCTGTTGGAATTAGAAGGCACCTTGGGAGTTACTTTGGAGTACTGGGCTATGGATACACAACGAAAATCTGAATAGATCTCCCTGAAGTCTGAACTCCAAAAGAGCAATTCACCCTTTCATTCCAGTAGAGAGAATATATAAAATCAAGTAAACAACAAATGGCACACACCTACAGAAATTTTTCAGCCCTGAAGACATTTCATGGCTTGAAGGACCCCTGGCAGGTATCACCATATCTGCCTTACAGATGGGAACACTGAGGCAAGCAGTGGTGCAGTGGTTTCCTCAAAGTCACACATCGAGAGCCAATGGTAAAGCCAGACAGACCCCAAATACACTGACTCTCAGTTTGCAGCTCTTACATCTAAATATCAGCCCTCTTAAAAACCACCAGCCCAAATTTCATCCTGGAGTCATCAGGTCCAAATCCCTCCACACATTTACAGAGCAACAGAATCTCATGCTTGCATTTTTATGCTGTGTATATAACAATGTAGTTTTAAATACAAAATATGTAATTCTCCTTTAACTTCAGGCATTTATTAGGAAAACAAATACTCTAAAAAACTACAGTGCAAATTCCTCTCCAATACCAATTCTTAACGATCAACATAACGGCATTGATGTCCCAGGCCAAGGGTGCCCTGAGCCTAGGAGCCAGCATGGTCAAGGTATAGGAGTTTCTGCAGTCACATCTGGTTGCCTTTGATTCCCCAGCACTAATAATCACTATTGATGTACTGTACTTACTGCTGGGTTGACTGAGGAGAGCCTAAACTCACAGCCTCTAAAACAGCAGTTCTCAGCCAGGGCACACAATACCACCTCAAGTATACCACAAAGAAGGTGATGCTACTGCTGTGGCAGCAGATACAACTGCCCACGTGCAGGGATGTAGCAAGTGTGTGCGCTCTCTTGCTTCATTAGGATTCTCTGACAACCCTAAAGCAGGCAGGAGAGCTAAGTCATGGTGCAGTCCTTCCTGGTCTGGTTCCCATCCACACTCCTCTCAGAAACAAACACACACGGGCAGTTCCACCTGCCCCATACACTTCTTTTTCCAGGAGACACTATACAGGAGGAGCATGCAGATGTGCCGCAACCCTTCCGAGTCTGGTGTCACAACAAGCATACAGGGCAGTTTTACCTGCAGGCAGCAGCACCCATTTATGAATCACTGACGTAAGTTGAGGTAGCACCAACAGAGATTCTCACCCAGGGATGTTGCCACATTCAAAATAGTGGTGAAGAGGTGCTGTGACTAAAAAGATTGAAAACCACCGCACTAGAGTCACAACAAGATGTTTTACTGCTCTACCATTGCCCCTGTGATCTCACGGAGGATATTTCCAGTTGACACCAGAAAACAATCTGGACTACAAACATTGGCCCTTTAAGGCTTATAAATTCTCCTGTCTACTGCAGAGAATCTGGACAATAATATACCCTTTTTTCACCATTTTTGTCCATTTCCTTTCTCAGCCCTAACAGTACTGAATTTCAGAATCTGAAACAATGATGACGCCTGGCATCTTTGTATCTTAGAGAGATTATGAAAGATCAAACAACACATCCTTACAGAAAATCAGATAGCTGCATTCTTCAGACTGCCAATCAGGCTCTTCTTTACTGGTATAGTATACATAAGATATGATTGATAATCGAAACGAATAGCGTTTTACAAAAGCTGTCAGGCTCATCTTAATTTTAGAGCAAAATTCTATTCTCAGAGCATCATAATGGATCCCGATTCAAATATTATGCTCAGCCCACATGCATGAATGTCTCTGTTGAGACAATCAGATTGGATTAACTATGATGTAAACACCTGTTCAGTGGGCAATGAATTAAGTGTTAACACTTAAATTGCTGTGTGACAACAAGAAGTCCCTTCTTCAGCCTCTTCTACAGTCTCACGGATTTGAAGAGAGGATCCAAAAGTAAGAGAAGTTCCTTTTCTCAGCCATTATTTCCTCATTTGTGGAGAAGTTTTTATACCTTCCTCATGTTTGTGGTATAGTATAGCTGAACAATTGTGGCCATTCCTATGTTTATATGTACAGTACTATATGCCAACATCATGACTGCCAGAACTGCCTTGGAGACACTGTTCATTTAAAAGATCCTGTCAACTAGTTTCACGATTATCATTTAGCTTTTGAAAAAAAATACTGGCCTTACAAAACCTATCAGTACAAATGTTCTTCTGACTTTTCCCATTTGGTTTTGCATTTAAACATTCCCTTTACACTGGGATGTAAACCAGTACTACATAAATGTGTCAGTACAAAAGAAATTAGAAATTGAAAATTACTAGAAATTAAGAGTGAAACTGACCAGACCAGTTTCAATGCTGAGTGGCCTGTCCAGTTATTTGCTGCAACTGTTTCTTTGCTATTTAAGCTATATTTCTAAATGTGTTGAAAGACATTTGATAATCATGTTTACAAATGTAAATAAATGATTTCTTTTCATTTACATTCAAAGCAGGTAAGAAGCAAATGGTAGAAGTATATTAGATGTTTTAATTTCTCATGGTTGTAACAGAAAATGTTATTACGAACAAGGCTAAAGGATATTTTGTTTAAACATGACTTTTCTGCTGGCTAGATGTGACCATTTCTCCACATGCCTGTTAGATTTTAAGACTGACTGTATTTGGTCCAATGTTGGTCACCTAAGTTACTTGGGAAAGTTCCCCTCCCCTGGTCCCACCCTCCCAAATTGCATGTAGCTTCATATTCAGTATTTCCTAAGTAGATACTGTTGTGTGAAGTCAGAAAGCTTTATGATGTGATCTTTGATAGACTTCTTAGATGTTTGTGGGTTGATATAAACCATCAAAATTAGGTACACAGAAGGGCACTGTAATGTTTGTATGACAGGCTGAAGCCCTTGGAGAACCAGGATTGAGAGAAAGTTTGTCGCTTGGTTAGACAAACTGTCAAACACACAGAGAAGAAGAAATTTCCCATTCCTTCAAAGGACTCTAGGTATGGACAGCATAAAACCTTTGTTTCCCTTCCAATTGGAGATTCACAGCTTTAGAGTAGATGCAGAAAGGCCACCTAAAGCAACTTGGGACTGCTTTTAGATATATGGAGAGTTTGGGATGAGACAAAGGATTGATGATGTGTAAACAGAAAGATGGCTCTGCCACAGGTACCAGAAAGTCGTCTACCAGATTGAGGACCAGTGGGACAGTATTTTATCAATTAAAAAAAAAACAACCCAGCTAGTTTCAAATTAACTTAAATATGTTTTAAGCAGCTGAATATCTGGACCAGTGGGAAGAGAACTAAAAAGAATGTAAATACTTTGTTACTGAGACAACACTCAATTTTGTGCATGGTCTGTATACAAAAGAGCAAACAAAGGACCATCAACAATGCAGATTCCATCCGGAGACATTATGCAGAGGTTGCACAAAATGACATGGCAGGCAACTTTGTTATGTTCCGTTAGGTTAGACACAGCAAAATAAACAAACCTACCTGCAGCTCCAACTGCGCAGGCAGCATTGGGGGAGAGAAAAATATTTATGTTATGAAATGGACTGTAAAACAGAAGATGTGACTGCAGCCGTAGTCAGTCTCCTGAGGGTCTATCAGGCAGGGACAAATTCTGAATCCCTTGTGCGGGTTTTGTCTCAGTAAGAACTAGGCAGGGACTTTAAGGTTTACCCTTCAGTTAATAGCTGTCTACAGGGACTTAAAGAATGAAGATGAAAGTCACAGAATGTTTAAGATCCAGTGTCTTTTCACCTTTTGTAGTCTCTTAGATACAGAGTTTAACAGTGATGCAGTGAAGACTGTAGTATCAGTGAAAATGAAATGTTCACAGCAGGAAGGTAGGAAGGGTACAAAGAGTCAGACTGCTGGGAAGTAAAGGGGGATTTTGGTTGAAGTTCCAGTTTACAATCTGTGCCCCTATCCTTCAAGGTACCCTGTGTGAGCGCAGGTGTCCACTCACATGGAACAACTCTGTCAGTATGGCCTTTTTGAAATGCAGTCCTTCCTGAGACTAGACAGTGGGTAATGAACACACTGAAGGCCACACAAAAGGTAGGCAAGAAAGATTTATTTTGGGCACAGACAATGATCTAATGCACTATTCTTATAAAGTGTGCCACATGGGATCTTTTACATTGACACAGAGTAGACAAGAGTTCAAGCTCTGATTTCAAAATCCCCAGAAGGGTAAACTCCAGGAACTCTTCAAAAGGCTGCAGGAATGAATTGATCCTATCAGGATGTGACCTTGGAGTTCCAGAGAGTCTCAATGTTTCAAACTAGAAAGGTGTCACCTCTGGCTCGTAAAGCATATGCATTATGTTCTACCCCTTTCTGTTACACAGTAGCTCCTTCAGAGATATAACTACCATCTTCACAAAATATATAGAACAGTGCTGGACTTTGACAGGTATTTCCATGCCCTACATTTATTTTGGCTACTGTAACACTACATGGTGACACCTTTCACAATGTGCCACGTCACAGAAATAAGTAAAACAGCAAGTGTCACAAGGAAGTTATTCACTTTGTGGGACAAATTTGAAAAGGTAGCATTCACTACTCTCAATGTGCGCCTCAGGTTCTAGACCTGCAAAAGTAAATCAATGCCTAAGCTGTAAATAAGAAACCCAGCAGAGGAGTGGCAGATCTGTCCATGTAATGATACATTTGGTTTGTTCTTCAACAGCGAGAATCTGTTTGTCCTCTTCTAGCATGGACCCAATCTGGCACCCACTAAAGCAAATGACAACCTTTTCACTGGCTAGTGGGCACTGAATCAGGACCCATGTCCTTTTATCCATAAGCAGAGATGTGTGTATTTATGTCTGCCTCTAGAGGCTGCATCGTCCAGCATGATATAAAGCCACCTCGCACCTTACCACCTTGCACAAGTCTGACTGTTCAAACACCAGTTTACTATTCCCGTGTCCTGGTCAGCAGAAGTCACTTTTTATTATTTAAATTCAAAGAACACTACTCCCCTTTCTTGCTGTTATAAAAGAATCACGTGTCTTTACAAAGGTCAGTCCATTGAGCATGGTGCCATCAACTAATATTAACACATTGAAAATTAAATTGATCCAACACTTGTAAAAGTTCTATTCATTTTTTAATATTGGTCATCTACCAGGGTACCTGCATATACATTTAATTTCACAGCGCAAGAAAAGAAGACATAATAAAACTGATAAGGTCTGTGCCTAATAAAAGACTGAAAGTCAAACAAGGCCCCTTTATCATTGTTTCTTTTAAAATTCTGACTGCAAACGTTTGTCTGAAAATGTGGCAATTCTGCCAGCATGTTGTGCTTTATTTGCTGCTCCAAAAGGCACAAGCAATTCACAATGCTTGATTTACAAAGATAAAATGATGGCCAGGACTCTCTTACTGTCCCTCGCCAGTCAGGTCAGCATACAAATCATTATTATTTCTAAGCAAAAAAAAAAAAAAAAA